CGAGGACCTATGTTTCAATTCATGTTGTACTGATTGTAAATCTTTTGCTAGCTATAAGAATGGATTTCATGTCTTTCCTTCTAAGGATCCTGTGCCAGCTGAAATGTTGTTTCTTTCCCTTATATGGTCTCTTATTATTTTTCTCTCTTTGTTCATGAGAAGGTCTTGATAACTTATTCCTTTTGTCATTGTATCCTTTTGGGTTGTTTGCTTTCCAGATTTGGCTGGACCATTTCCCTTCTTTAGCTCTTATTGCATTTTCCACCTAAATCCTTGAAATTCTTGTAGCTTTTGACTTTTCTATGTTTCTTGCAAAATGATTTGTGTTCCATCGGAGTCATTGCTGTAGACAGACTCTTTGCCTGGTCAATGATTGACCACCTCTTATCAGAAACATCATGTCTGGATATGTGGTTGGAACGCCTTTTCATATTTTTGAAAGGACTAGACACTGACTGATGAAAGTGAAACAATTGATGCTTCCCCTTGACCTTCCATCATATGCAAAACTTTTTCCTGAGGTTCAACTGGGGTGGTTCCAGAAATGACGACCAAAAATAACTTATATTTGACAGATTTTAAGAAGTCACCATCCGTTATTCAGTCTTGTGTCATCCCACCATGCTTGAGCACTTTAGATCTTGTAGTTGCTTTTAGTGTAAGGTCTTTCAATGATGGTGTTGCGTCTCATTATTACTTCAAAGTTAGGAACTTGACTGTTGAAACTTATTGTCATCTTCTTTCTGAGGTGGACTTAAAAGTATAAAGCATGTCAGAATTTCAATATTTTAAATGCATTTGTGCTGATCACTATGTTTCCTTTGGCTCTTATTAAATGATTCCTCATGTCAAAACTTGCTTGTTCCAGCTTCTTCTTTAAGCAGGAAATGGAGCTTTCATTGATAGGATTGCAAAATGCGGGAAAAACATCTCTTGTAAATGTTATTGCTGTAAGTAAATTCCTTGTTAACCTTCTAGTGCCAGCTCATCATTATTGTTTCACTTGCTTTGCTTCCATATAACTGATGGAATCTGACACCTTAATGGGTTTGTTTCTCCCTTCTTATTCTTAGACTGGTGGATACAGTGAAGACATGATACCAACTGTAAGTTTTCATCCTAAAGGATCTCATACTAGTTTTTACTTTTTGGCCAACTCTGCTAAGTACTTTTAAGTGATCTTCTATAATTTTACGGAAATTTTTGGTATTCAGGTGGGATTTAACATGCGCAAAGTGACTAAAGGGAATGTCACAATAAAATTGTGGGACCTTGGAGGTCAACCCAGATTCCGCAGTATGTGGGAGAGATACTGTCGTGCTGTTTCTGCTATAGTGTAAGCATCTCCTCTCCAGCTTATATTATTCTATTTGCTTTTACAGATAGATGTAGATGAATCCATTTATACACTCATTTAGAAGATAACACATATTACGAATTGAGATGAATCTTCTCCATGGTTTATTAATGAACAGTTTTATTGAATCTCATGGTTTGCCTGATCAAGCTGTCCTCTCTGGTGCTTGACAGATTTATATTTTTATGCCTTCGATAGGTGGAATTCCTTGATCTTGATCTTGATCTTATGTGTATTTAAAGGAATGATGCTAAATTAGTTGCTCTCTTGAGAGTTTTAACAAATTTCAAGGACCTCAACTGTAACTTCATATACATGAATTCTTATACTATAGCCTTGAGCTAATTTGGTTTCTGGATTCTTTAAATGTCCTTCCTTGCAGTTATGTTGTTGATGCTGCTGATCCTGATAACCTCAGCGTATCAAGTAGTGAACTCCATGACCTGCTGAGCAAGCCATCTCTGAGTGGTATTCCATTGCTAGTGCTGGGAAACAAGATTGACAAGCCTGATTCCCTGTCCAAACAGGCTTTGACTGACCAGATGTAAGTGCAGAATATTACGCTAGTGATTGGTGGCTTTTTGGCCTTAGTTTACAGTATGGTTGGTTAGTGGAAGGGAGGTAAAAGTTTAATCATTCACTTTTGGTCCAATTCCATAAAACTGGAAAGGAAGGAAAATAAATTTTCTTCTTTCACTTGGTATAAAAAGCTTTTGGAAGGAATGCAAATACCTCTGCATGTCCTTCTCATATCTTTGCCGCAGAGAAGATTGGATCTTAACCTTATCATCCCTCCTGCTATTCCTCCTATTTCTTAAAACTCTGATCGCATAGCATTAATTATATCTATGTGGTCTTATCTTAAAGAACATTATATTTTTTTGCAGGGGATTGAAATCAATTACTGATAGAGAAGTGTGCTGCTATATGATCTCGTGCAAGAATTCCACCAACATTGACTCAGTCATTGATTGGCTTGTTAAGCACTCGAAATCAAAGAGCTAAAGATGACTAAAACTTTTTTGTAGTGGTGCTGATTTGTATGATAAATTTGCGAGGCTATTGGTTTTTTCTGCTGGTTTCTCCAGTGTTCTCTTGTACTGTAAATTAAATTATTTTGTTTATTGAGTGCGTTGTTACATGTTTTTTTCTTGCCATTTTTCGTCTCAACTCTCTCTAATTGTGTTTGCAATTCCTCTTATAGTGTTTACTGATCTGCTGCACGAGTTTGTGTGAAGGAAACGGATCTTTTAAGTTTTATATTTATTAGAAGATAACCTAAGCTATCATAATATTTCTGTTATATGGAAGCCCCAGTTAATAATGCCAATTTTGTGTATTCTTTGATTGAACACCAAATGATTGTCAATAACTTAAAGCTTTTAAAATTTATATATTTTTAAAAAAAAATATTCGTGAGTATTTTATTAAATAAAAATATATGATCTGTTGGTTAGTATTTAATTGTCAGAAAATATTGTTTAAGAAAAACATTTCCACCGAGTGTGAGATAATTACTTCTTTTTTCCAACTATTTATGCTGTCAAGTTCATATTACTTCTCAAATCAACATTTTGACATTTAACACTCGAAAATTGTTTCAAAGCAATACTATGCTCGGTCCTATTTTGTATGACAATTTTTCAGTCCATTTCAAAAAAAAAAAAGTTATTTTATTGTAATTTAATATTAAGATGCATATTTTTTTTTTATTAAAAAATTTAATAGTCCCACAAATGAATTGTTTTAGGCGATAGTGTTATCACTTATCATATATAAGGTACAACTAGTACTAGTAGTAAGAGGGGATTATTTTATTGATATTATATTATAAAGCATGGGACCCATGCTATATTTTTCTTCTTGAGCCTTTGTTTCTCTTTCTTAATTTTCTCTTTCCTCTTTTTTCTCTTTTTTTAGTTTTCTCTAAATCTAATTTAAAACAAATTTAATTACTCCATCCGTGTATATAGTGAAAAATAATTTACTTTTTTACTTATTTAATTTAACAGAAAATACTTTTTAAAATTATTATTTTTATCATTAAATAATCACATAATATATTAATAATAAAATTTAAAAATATAATTAATAAAACTAGTTTAGTAAAATAAATTTCTAATACAAATTCAATTGAATATATTACACATTAAATATTTAGAAGTTATCGACATAGAAAGCATGATTATGATGATTATTATTATTATTAGGTGTTTGACTATATATATACTAGAGTTGAAAATAGAATTATGTTTTATTTTTGCAAAAAATATTCAAAATTATGTTCGTATTAAACTTAAATAACATTTCAAAAGTGAAAAGTAAGTTAAAAAAACACATTGTACCAATATATTTCCAAATTAAAAATATATCTTCAAAAAAAAAAGGCAGTGTTCCAAATTTTCATTGTCGAAAATCAATTTTCAAATAAAGTGACAATTATTTTATAAATATTTATGTTTAAATGGGTCCTAAAAGTAGAAGTTAAAAAAACAATGAAATATGAAGGCAAAAATTTTAAAGTACTATAAATGAAAATTGGGAGGAAAAGAAACAAAAATAATTTTAGTAGTCAATTTTATGGTATAAGTGACCATCCAAAGAATTAACTTGAATATTTTTATGCTCATAGCCTTTAATTATAGAATAATAAAAAGAGCAACTTTCACATATAGCAAACACAAAATTCATATTTGTATGCTATAACAAAGTTTGCATAATTGCGCTCCATAGCAAAGATAAATATGTATATTTCGCTATACATATACAAAAAGCAGATGTATAATCTGTTTTGGTATACATATACAAAAAAATCAATTGTATAAAGTGAGAGACACGAGTGAACGAGCGAGATCTGGGAGAGTGGCGAGCGATATCTGGGAGATGGGAGAGAGGGAAACGAAAATATATGTATATATACAATTTTCTCTTGCTTTATACAAACACATTTTATACAATTTGCGTTTTTTGTATAAAGTGAGAGAGGCGAGTGAGAGAGCGAGATCTGGGAGAGTGGCAAGCGAGATTTGGGAGAGAGAGGAACGAAAATATATGTATATATACAATTTTCTCTCGCTTTATACAAACACAAACGCACTTTATACACTTGTGTTTGTATAAAAAACAAGAGAGGGGAGGGAGAGAACGAGAGTGGTGAGCGAGATTCAATAGGAGAGAGGTGAAATAGCAACAGTTTGCTATGAGGTACAATTAAATCAAACTATATTTATAGAATTTAATTTGAATTAATAGTTTGCTATTATATACAATTTTCCCTAATAAAAATTATAATTTGAAAAAAAAATTCTATTAAAACAAATAAGTAAAAAAATAATTATTATTTTCATCAAAAAAGTAGTAATTAAATTGATTTCCAAATAGAACTTAAAACAAAAAATCTAGAAAAAAAAGAGGAAACAGAGAGAGAGAGAAGGAAAGAGAAAGAAAAGGCAAAAAAGGAAAATAAAGCATGGGTCTCACAAATAAAAATACAATAGCAATAAAATAATCCCTCATACAACTAGTACTAGTTATACCTCATACATAATAAAAAATTTCGTAGTATTAATATTTTAAAAAAGAAAATCTTTGCTCAAATCAAATAAAATCATTGCTGGTAGTCTTATTATCAGCAAAGAGTGGGGAGGACCAACCTGTAAATTGTAATTGCTTCTGCAATTTCACTTCACTTCTCATTCCTCCATATCCATGGAAGCCTCCACCGGACCTCCACGTATTCCCTCTCCGTTACCGGCAATAGACGTCGGAAAGTTAAAGCAAAACCTCCTGCAAAAAGGCGTCGACCCAACTCCGAAAATTATCCACACTCTCCGCATAAAGGAACTTCAAAAATTCAACAGACGCCTCGCAAAAAAAGCCGCTAAAGAACCCCCGCCACTCACAGATACCCAAAAACAAGCCCTCGCCGAAGAATCATATTTCCAAGCCGTTAAATCAGAGTACAAAAGCTTCAAGAAAGAGGTGAAGGCCAAAAATGATGAAAGAATGGTGGGAAGGCCTTGGGAGAAGATTGAGAAACTCAAATTGCAAGAGCTTTCCAGTGAGAGTAAGGTGTATTCTGGTGATAAATTGAATTCTGAGCATCTGTGGGAGCTCAGTGATATAATTGAGAGTGAAAGAGATAAATTTTCATGGCTTTTGGATAATGATGTTGAAATCAAGCAAGGATGGTTCGATAACGAAAGGGCTAACTGGGATTACAGACAACGTCGTAGAGGCGAAGCTGAGACTATTCGGTTTATCATTGATAGGTATGTAACCCCAACTAATTTGGAATTGAGGCCTTGTTATTGTTGTAGTACCAATAGTTGTGCAAATATACCTGACTTGTGTCCAACTAGTCTGAGATTGAGGCTCCTGGTATTAGGTGTGGCAGTTATATCCGACTGTATTAATTTGGCATTAAGTTGTATTTGTTGTTGTTGTAGTACTATTGATTAAGTGTGTGAATTCTGCATGTTCACTGTAGGTTGAAGAATTGAAGCTGATAATTTTCTGCATTCTTGTTGTAGATTGAGTGAGACAGAACTTGGTGTGAAGGATTATAAGTTTTCTAAGTTGATGAAACACTCTGGATTGCAGTATACTGAGGAGCAAATGCTGAGGTTAGTGCAAGGGCTTGGTGAAAAGGGACAGTGGAAACACGCCTTGTCTGTTGTACACTGGGTTTACACTTCTAAGGAACATAGACGCAGCAAAAGCAGGTACATATGCTTTAATGTTTTATCAGCAATTAACCAAATGTTATTTCATTTATGCAAGTAACTATGATGATTTTGTTTCAGAGCTATAGTTTTGCCAGTAGTTAATCTATCATATATATTAGTTGCTTCCGAATTCTTGAAAAAGGAGAAACTATAGTCTTTGCTTTATCTAGGTTCGTGTACACAAAACTGTTGGCAGTTCTGGGGAAAGCAAGAAGGCCCCGTGAAGCTCTTCAAGTGTTCAATTTGATGAGAGTATTTCCTAACTCTTATATGTCGGCTTCTTCTTGAATATACTCATATGACGTGGTTGGAGAGAGCCTGACACTTTGTGATGTTTAGGGGGATGCCCATATTTACCCTGATATAGCAGCCTACCATAGCCTGGCTGTTACACTTGGCCAAGCTGGTTTGCTCAAAGAGTTGATCAACATCGTTGACTGCATGAAGCAAAAACCCGAAAAATTAAAGTACATGCGGAGGAAGAATTGGGACCCTGTTCTTCAACCGGATCTTGTGGTATATAATGCTGTAAGTAATTGTTGTCCTTTCTGTTGTCTTTTTTTCTTTTCTGATAAACAGTAGTGTTTTTACTTCTGGTACCAATTTCTTTTGTATGTTTGATAATCTGCATATTTGTGACTTCATTGGTCTTTACCTAAATGGTTTCCAGGTTTTAAATGTTTGTGTACAATCTCGCCAGTGGAAGGGAGTGTTCTGGGTTTTTGAGCAGTTGAGAAAGAATGGTCTTAAGCCAAATGGGCCAAGCTATGGACTCGCAATGGAGGTAGTTCATACTTTTTTTCCTTTTTCGTTTAATGACGTTTAGGTTGTCCCTGACTCCCTTTTTTAACTGTAAAGAGCCTATGAAATCAAAATAATCATTTATAATATCTGGAGGCAATTCATACTTTTGATACCTGTAAGGAGCAATCACTATTAGTAACTGTTTTGCCTTCTGCTTAGAACGTGTGTGTGTTCCTTCTAATCCATGGTTCAGATAAGAGTAATTCTAGGAAATCGCGAACAGCATTGTGAATTGCACATTGATTACTGTTACGTGAACAAGTTAGAGAACACTTTCAGATGATTTGTCTTGTTAGTATTTTAAAAGGAAATGCTCATTTACCAACTGCCATTCCTTTTTTTGAAAAAAAAAAACAAAGAAAAGGAATTGCTCGCAAGAAAATAAATAAACAACAATCACTGAATCATTGTGTGACTTGCTGACACAGAAGATTTTCGACTAGCATCACCAAACAACCATTCAGTGAGGATTTTTAGTAGTTACTTATTGGAGCGTGGTATTTACCATATCATGATTGTTATTTATTTCCAAGTAGTTATAGTAGCATTGCAAGTGTTACAAGCGTGCTGCAATTTTATTGAAAGGTAATGTTGCAATCTGGAAAATATGAACTTGTCCATGAGTTTTTTGGAAAGATGAAGAGAAGTGGGGAAGCCCTAAAAGCTCTTAGTTATAAAGGTAAGATGGTTTTTTTTCTCTTCCCCAACCTCCAATGAAAAGAAAAAGAAGAAAAAAGAGCACTCAATTTTTTTTTAACTTACCGACTTATTGTGGCCTCCTTTTAGTTCTTGTAAAATCTTTCTGGGAAGAGGGGAGAGTCAATGAAGCCATTCAAGTGGTGAGGGAAATGGAACAAAGAGGAGTTGTTGGAAGTGCCTCAGTGTATTATGAGCTGGCTTGCTGTCTTTGCTACCATGGAATGTGGAAAGAAGCATTCTTGGAGGTGAGGGTACCCTTTTCTCTTTATCTGTTTTCTTTTAGATGGTTTTTATAACCCCGACTTCCTTGTGCTAGTGAAGCTGAAGTTATATAGATAATTATTTGGACTTTCTTAGAAGTCAGTTCCTATGTTTCTTGCATAAAAAAGTTCTTTTGTCATTTCTATCGGTTATTGTACACTAGTGGATTAGATAATTTCTTTTAATAAAAATTAATTAGCGCATTTATTTATTTTTGGAGGACAAAAAGTTAATTTTTTCAGGCTAAGTTATAAAGACTGTCATAGTGTCATTTAAAATAAGGCAAATTTATTGAGTTTTAGACGATACTTATTCTGGCAGATGTTGGATTTTAATTGAAATCCAGCAACAAGTTCATTCTAGAAATTTCATGCATCCTCTCTTAAGCTTGATTCTTGGTAGTTCTTCAAGCCTGTTGATTGAGGAATGTAGCTATTTTTGGTCCTTGCCTTTGTAGCCAAGACTGATCATTTTTTTTTTGATAACCGAGAAATCCGTCTGTGACTTGCCCTTTGGACCAATCACAGCCTTCTAAACTCGGTCGATAATGGGCCCACCCCTCTACCCTTCTCCACTTAAATACCAGGCTTCGCTTTGCATGGTGTGGGGCTTGAACCTGTTATCATGATAAGCTTTAAAAAGGAAATGTTGGTTATAGTACTTGTAGAGTAATTCATTGTGTACTCATGCATTGGTTCCTTCCATTTTATTTTTTAACCTTCGATCTTTAGTCATTACATGCCTCAAAATTTGTTGCCTTCAAGTATGCATCTTCTGCTGTGTTATTTATGCTCTCTCTCACTCTCATTGAAAAGGTGGCATAACATACACTGTATCTGCTGATTTTCGAGACTTCTCTCCTCTCTGTGTAAATGTGTCTGCATGGTTCATCTTCTGCTGATCTTTTGATGCACAAACTCAATGCTAGTCATTCCACTCTTACTGCAGATTGAGAAGCTGAAGATGCTACGTCGCACAAGACCTTTGGCAGTTACCTTTACTGGCATGATTTTATCATCCATGGACGGTGGACATATTGATGGTTGCATATGTATATATGAACACAGTAAAAAGCACTGCGAACCTGACATAGGAATCATAAATGCCATGTTGAAGGTTTATGGCAAGAACGATATGTTCTATAAAGCTAAGGAATTATTTGAGTGGGCTAAGACAGAGAGTCCTGGTCCTCAACTTAGCCAGGATGATTTTAGCTCTGCCCGTAGGCCAGATGCATACACATACACCTCGATGCTTGAATCCTCTGCTTTCTCTCTCCAGTGGGAATACTTTGAGTATGTGTACAAGGAGATGGCTTTAGCTGGGTATCTGCTTGATCAAAGCAGACATGCGTACCTCTTGGTGGAAGCATCAAAAGCTGGGAAGGTAAAAATTAAAAAACTGGCTTCTTTATCAGGACCTGCATTTGATGATATCTTTTTGACAAGCGAATAGTAGACTAACACCCTTGTTCCATATAGAAAGAAAACTAAAGCATGATGTCTTCCTGGTCAAAATGTGTAGGACTGTAGGTTGATTCAACTCATTTCAATTATTTACTTGCAATTGAGTGGAAGAAAGATAAAATACTTCTAAAATTGTGGATTTAGTTATTAACTTATAATAAGTTGGATTGTGTTCCAGATGAGTCTCTGTTTTGGAGTTGTAAAAATCAGTTGTTGGAACTAGGTTAAACTCAGATCCTGTTTGTTTGTATTCAACATTTCCTTTTATAAGCTGCTTTCGTTGTTGATGCAGGTGCATTTGCTAGAGCATGCCTTTGATGCAATTCTGGAAGTTGGTCAAATACCTCATCCATCATTCTTCTTTGAGATTCTATGTCAAGCTACATGTCAGCATGATCATGAAAGAGCCCTTGCTCTAATTAAATTAATGGTTCATGTTCCATTTCAAGTCAGTAAACAAGAGTGGATTGACCTATTCAACAGCAACAATGAAAAACTTAGCCATTCTAGTTTGAGAGGATTATTGGATGTGATATGCAGGCAGAGTTTGGGATCAGACGCGACCATTGTAAACTTGTGCAGGGCATTGGAATCTGTTTGTGGATCTTGCACGTCAAGTATGCTTATAATCAATGAACCTGCTAAATTAACAGATGCCAGCGCTTTGGCAGCTGACAAGGATGGAAGTCTATATAGATGCAATGCTCCAGCTAATGCAGAATTACCCCTCCAGCATGTTCAAGTTGATGAAGCCTACGATGAGAGAGAAAAAGGTGCTGACAGGGAGTTAGTTTCGGATATGTCACACTTAAGTCACAGAGAAGATATGAGAGCTGGGACGAACACAATCTTTGAGCTTTCTGATGACGAATTAACTTTTGATGACCAATCTGATTACTTGGATGATATCGATCAGTTAGAACTCGGGATGTCTAGTGATGAAGATGACAACTCTAGTGAAACCAAGGTTCCCTCAGCGTATGATATATTGAAGACGTGGGAGGATATGAGGAAAAAAGATGCTACATTCTTCAACTTTCAATTAGGCCAGATGTGAATTTCCTTCACAGAAATTGCTCCTTCCTTACGATGACAAGCCTCCTTTGCCAAAAGCGATGAAATGATGCCGGAGATTCAACCTGGTAAAAATAGAGAATTATAGCACTGAGATAGTTGAAGCATATGACATGTGGTGTGATAGTAAGAATTAATTTACTCATTCTTCTCAAATTTAGGATGTTAGGGAAAACAAAAGCGGAAGAAACTTGGAAAATAATGTTAAAATGAAAGTAGTTCTGTTACTTGTTATTTTCTTTTCCACTAGCCAATTGTTTTTGGGTACAATGTATCAATAAAAGTAAAAATAAATAAAACAAGATTCACGATTAGACATGAATCATAATATGAGAGAATCTTCCTAGTTTGGTTGGTTACTTGGTGAGGGTTCGATTTTCACGTTGTGATCTCCTATCTCAATTTCTTTTACAAAAGAAAAAAAAACATAAAACATAATACAAATACTTGGAATTATACTTCTTGAATTAATTTATCTCATTTGGATGATAGGATAAAATAATTTAAAATAATTTCAAATTTAATAGGATATACTTAATTTTGAGATATCCACTTTTATCTCGTGTATCAAACTAAGAAGTCTTTTTTAATTAGTATGTATTATAGTATTTAAGAATTGATAAACGTAAAAATAAAAATATTAATACTTCAAAACATTTTAGAAATCTGAAGTACTCTTCAACTAGCCAACTCGACACTGTCTGACATACAAAACGACGCCGTTTTGTTTTCAGTCCCCTTCTGCTTTCACCTTCTTCCCACTTCTCTAAAACCCTAATACAAAGTCTCTGCAATTACTGAAAATGGCATCTCTAGTTTCGAAAATCTCATTGACAAGACTCTTTTCCCGGATCCGTGCCCCATCAATAGCTTACACTCTATGCACTGCTACAGAAACCCGAACCCAGAAGTTGGAGCGGATCGCCGACCAACTTCTGGACCTGAATAAGCTCGAAAAACATGACTACTCTATCCTATTCCGGCACAAAATGGGTCTTAATCGATATGGGCCTGCTGTTTCAGGTTTGGGTTCTGGATCTTCTTCTTCTGGCCCTGGTGCAGCGGCTGCGGATACAAAGGTGGAAGAAAAAACTATCTTTGATGTAAAGCTTGACAAGTTTGATGCGGCGGCCAAGATTAAGGTGATTAAGGAAATTAGGTCTTTTACTGATTTGGGTTTAAAGGAAGCTAAGGAGTTGGTAGAAAAAGCGCCAGCAGTGGTGAAAAAGGGAGTAACGAAAGATGAAGCTAATGCCATTATAGAAAAGCTCAAGGCAATAGGTGCTACAGCGGTACTAGAATGAAATTTCCAATTTTGCCTCATGTTCTTATACTGAAATTGTTATTTTTATGGGGAATAGAAATGGAAATTGTACTCCATTCTGACGAATTTTGGTTGCACATTGCTAGGGACTTTACTACATTGATTTACTACTCGTTTTTATGTGCCCCGTTACTGTTTATAGTTCCTGGTTACTGCTTCAATAAACTTTTATGTCAGCTCAGTTGCCCTGTGCTATAGAATAGATCGAAATTGTAATAACTTGCTGGGATTGCGGGTGTTGATTATCTTGGGTTGCAAGATCCATTTTTCTCCCTTTTAACATGGATTTACTTACAAATGGCTTACTAGCAGTGATAATGTGTAAGCATTTGATATGAGTGTGTTTAGCATTTCTCTCAATTTGTAGTCTCTATTGGAAAATCTGCACGAAATACCCACATGTATGTCATTTCTCTTATCTTTGTTTATTTGCAATCTTCCATAGAGTTCGTTGAATTTGTAGTACCTCAATGATGTTGGTGGTGTTGACTGATCTTGGCCTGCTAGATTCATTTCCTCTCTGCTCTTGTATTGGTTCAAGGTTCTTACTTTTTACCACTGATTAATTTAGGTAGTTACACGGTGATCATTTATTTTGTATAGCATCCTCCCGCTGGAAACTAATTGTATGTGTATAAATGAATACCCAAATTTGAAGTGGACAGCCTTGATATATGACCTCCTACATCATATGATTTCTCAATTGCTAGCATATTACTTGAAATCTTAGAAGGCTAAAGAGGTTTGGCTTTATAGATCAGCAATCCAAAAAATTAGCATGTTTTTCTTAAACTTTTTTGCTACTGTAGTGACCTGCAATTATACTAGTTTCTCTTAATTTGTTTCCTTGCTCCTTTCTTCATTTGGTGGCCATCAGTTTGCTTCTCTCCAATTTAAATGTTAGGTACTGTTAAGTGATACTTATCTCTTGACATATCATTCTTCTTTGATTATTGCTTATCTAAGGCTAAGCTGAATGACCCTGCTTTGTATCTCGGATGTACTAGTTCAGTTGTAGCCATTTCTTTTGCATTCACTATCTGTCAATGTCTGTTTTCATGTAAAGGATTTACTTTCATATAATATATGATAAATGAAACTATAATCCCTTCTATGTTCGGACAGAAGTTGCCACTTTGAATGTAAACTCTTTGGGATCTACATTCAAATATGTTCAGCATCTTTTGCACAGTAGTTCTTCCATGACCTCTGTGTTTGTTCAAGTCTGTGTTTGTCATCTATGAACTATGTGACTGATTTAACTGGTATCTACTCAAAGTAAATTACCTGGTTCTTGTTTTTTTTTCTTCTGTAAATAAAAGTATTTTATGTCATCTGCAGATTAATAACAGCACCATAGTAATCAAAACAAAAGTAAGTTTTAGGCCTAAAATGCTTGGTGCACTACCCCTCATCCTTTCAAGAATTGAGGTGAAAGGACAAACAATTTTTTGCCCAGTCATTTGTATATTCCCCTGCTGTAAGTTTTGGACTTCTTGCAGTTGGTGTAGAATTCAATGCAGGAACTCAACAGAGAAAGTATAAGAGATTTTTTGAGGTTCAGGGCCCAATACAGTAGCAAATTTTAGGATGTAATTTTTTGAATTTAAATCTTCATCCATGGGATCGTTTGAGCCATCTCTCATTCTAATTTCTGCTTGATTTGTTGGGGAATGCAGTTCGATTTTCTTCCCGGACAGGATCAAACCAGCAAGACTAATGTCTACTTGGTCCACTTATACTATTGATAAAGTCTCTAAATTAATAAGGCTCCGGTTGTATTGTTATATAAGATGAAATTCAATCTAAGAAGCGGACTATCTTCGGCTACTACAAGATCTTTATAAACCAAAGAATGAGCCTACTTGATTGTCTAGGACTGAACATATTTGTTGTATGGCATGCTGAATAAACAACTTTAAGAGGAAGAGTAAGTAATCATTTCACATCAACACTCTTATGAAGGGGGAACAAAAAGTTGGTGCATTATGTAAACATTGACAAATTTCCATACCCCAGTATCCAAAGGTGCGATGGTTGGAGCCTGTACTTTGGAGGTGCAAACACACATTGGAGGATCAACAAATTTTGATATGATATATTAAATATTTAGCTAGTAAAATAATTTATAAATGGTAGTAAATGTGTAGTAGCATCAATATGTAATCAAAACATTAAAATTACACTCTCATGAAGGAAAGAATATCAAATAGAACATGCGGCATATTATACATTGATAATGCAAAACAACTTTGAATACTACCACAGTAGTTTAATCAATTATAGCAGATTACATCTCCTCTTTCAGTTACACAGTAACTTGATGGTCAACATTTTTTTACACTGACATACAAAAATATAAGAGTTCCAAAAGTAGTTGAACAAAATATTAGAACAAACAAGGTCAGTATAAAAGTTTCTACTCCCCTGAAAAGTCAACACTGGAGACCGATCCTAAGGAAACAACTGCAATATTAGAAGCTCCTGGAAAAGCTAGCAAGTTCTTAATCACTTTTGAGATATTGGCTGAAGAGATATCGCATCCATTGTGCCATGGCGCTATAACCAGTTTCTCAAGATTTTTTGCATGCTCAAGCAAAGACTTCAAAAATTCTGAAAGGCGCTCTGTTGCGTCAGCTTTGTGTTGACAACTACAACAGTTTGAAGTAACCTCAACATGCTTCAAATTCTGTAAGGAGCCTTTGAATATGTTTTCATGCAAGGAGAGGGAATTGTCTCCTGACCAATCAAACTCTTCGTCTTCCAAGTCTTCATCCCAGACAAAGAAATCTCCCTACGGATACAGAAGAACCACAAATCAGGTTAAGTGTAAGTGTAACAGCTAGAAGATACTTAAGTAAATGTTTGGATTTTAGAATGGAATTTTATGGTACTGAAATTGCAGAACAACACACAAAAGAATCTGAAACGAGATATAAGTAACATAGTAGTCAAACAATAGACAAACAGATGAAAATACTTTTTAGTCAGAAGGTGTATAATATTGAGATAGACCACTGATAGTAATTTAGTGGAAAGTACTAAAATGTTGAAGACTTCCCATTGATGTCGTAGAAGATCAATAGACGATTGAATGTAATATTTTATGCCAAACAAAAGCAAGAAGCTGATAACTCATTGTAAAAGGAAGAAGAGTCTTCAGTGCAGTAACACTATGGTCGCATATATTTAGAAATTAGAAAATGTAGGTCTGATGGGCAACAATTTCAGTAATAAAGGACGCTATACATAAAACAGCTTGACATCCAAGGCTATATTATGCCTCAAAATATGATACTGAAAATGTAAAGGATAATGAAACAAACACAAGGGAAAAAATTAAAGAATGAAAAAGAATATAAAAGGTATCTCAAAGCAAGAATCAATTGAAAACATACCTCTTCATGAAGTATCATCAAATTCTCCAGATATGGAGTTGACTTTAAGAGAACACCTATGCCGAGAATGGCATTTCTTGAAATCCAAGAATTTATCGTCAACTGTTTGCACTTCAGCATCAGCAATGGAACATCTTTCTTCTTTTCTAACACCGACACATAAATCATCTAAATGGGAGAGAGAAGCAGAGTAGAAGGTAAGTACATTAAGTATCACAATATCAAATTTTATAGGGCCTAAAAACATCCCAAACTCATGGGTTAAAGTTTCAACCTTCACACCCCTTCACCCGACAAGAGAATGCTTGAAACTATGGTCTTAATTTGATCTTTTTCTAGCCTCAGAACTTCCCAATAGTTTCTATAATATATTAGAAAACAAACATAGTTAACAAAGAATTCAGTTACAAAGCTACTGTGTGATGATAACATCCAACCAAAGCTGTTTTAAGTTCAGAATAATATCCCATATACCCTATCTCTTTGCTCCACTGCATGTTTTCAGTGACAAAAAGGTTGGACAAACAAACTACATAGGAATTGCTTATGCAAGAGAGAAAGAACACAGAACCTTCAACTTGGTAAGATGGGAATCAGTCGCCACAAATTTGAAGGCAAGGAGAACTTAAGAGTAGAGAAATTGAAGATGCAGAGCAACAGCTCACTGCAGAAGTAGTTATGAAGATGTGGTAAAGAAGAGAAGGCACTTTGGAGGTGTCATTATGGTAAAAATGCATGCCTGATCCCTTGGATAACTAAACAGGTTCAGCAACAGCCCCTATGGTATATGGAGGCATATTAGAGTCCACTAAAATTATTTTTTCGCCATCACCTCTTCAAGTTGGAAATGGGAAGGAGACAAGTTCTGGGAGGATGCTTGGCTAGTCCAAACACCACCGAAGATGCAGTATCCATATATTTACAGTATTGCACAAACACAAGATGCTACAATTTCAGAAATGTGGTCTGAACAGGACTGTGTTTTTGGTCTCTGGTGCAGCAAAAATGATTGTGAATTTAACGGTGTCCTCACTTTTAAATAAGCTGCATAGCTGCCCCCCTTTATCTTCCAGAGCTGAATCTCTTTTGTGGAAAGCAAACACAGTAGGTAACGTCAAGATCAAAGACTTGTATTCTCTATCTAGGAGATCTTCTGGCAGTAGCACATTTTGGCTTATGAAATGCATTTGGAAAAGCAAAGCTCCCCTGGAAGTAGGATGCTTAAAGAGCTTTGCTTTACCTGGCTGGTGCCTTAAGGAGCTTGTTTAACCCAGGAGAACCTCCAAAGAAGAGCGTCAACATCTGTAGTAGGTGCTCATAATGTGAGAGGCACATAGAGGATATGAACCACCTTTTCAGTCACAGCAAATCAGGGACTTATTTGAGTAGTGTGGGGGCCTATGCCAACGACAACAGAGGATTTGACATCAACGACGAGTGATTACTCATTTATGCACCAAAAGAGTACCTATATATGCAAGTGTCCCTTCTCCTTCTCACTCACTCAATCCTAATAACGAGTGGCCATTTGGCTATTGATTTGTTTGGGTGCATTTGGCTCATCTAAAAAGCTCCTTATTCAAAGAATGCTCTTCAACTAGTCACTCTATGCTTTACTTAATGTAGTGATTATTACCATTACTTGCCTTTTAGCCTAGAGAAGTGTTTCCTTGGTGTCCAGCTCCAAGATTAGGTAGACCTTCTATCCTATTTCAATTTTACCTTTTTATGACTGTTTTATTGTAGAGCAATACATCTTACAGAGACAAGTTTTACACCTGCATCATCGTGCTCTCAATTTTCTCTATATTGTTTAAGTTCTTCTGCAGATTCAGAGCTGTCTGGATTGAACCTCTTTCTTTTTGTTACTGTGTCAGTCTTTTTTTCCCCCTTAGTATTCTGACTTTGTTCAGTCTATCTTAATTATAATTTGACTTTAAATGCAGGCACATTTCTTAGTATGTGGTTTTTAAAAATATTGTAAATTGTTCTCATTGATACAACGTATGTATGTGTATTATATTCATATTCAGCATAAAAAAGACTGGAGATTTTTTGGGCTGAAAACTGACCTCGATAAACCAGCATGGGATCATTAGCTCATTAGCACAACGTACACTTGCCAAGAGAAGTTCCACGGTTTTGTCAAATACAACATCAACAGAGAAAGTAAGATCAGCGTGGACTAAAGATGAAAGGTCCCCAAGTCTAATTTCCACGTTATCAAAATGCCCCGAAATCTTTAAATGTTGAATATATGGGGCAACTATTTCGAAGGAACAATCACCTCCAAATGGACCCCAATCTCCATCAGGATGGGCATGATCAATCAATTGCAGACTTCTACATTTTGGAGAAGTTATATGTAAGCGATGAAAACCACAAAACTCACATAGCTTCAACGATTCCAACTGAGGACAATTTGTTACTATTTGTTCAACATGTTCGTCCCGAAGAAACAAATAGGTTAGTGTCAAACTCTTCAGGGATGTCCAATTTAGTACACATTCTTCAGGTATTCTGCAAAACTCGCAATTAAATTTTACAATGGATGAGTTGTTGCAGAGAACTTGTGGCAAGACATAGGGGTTTTGATCATAATACCATATTTCCAGGTCAAGATCCTCCACTTTTTTCTTTAAAGCAATTTCAAGCCACTTGTCAATTTTGGAACTATAAGAAGCAACAAGGCAAAATCGGAAATATAGACAGAGCTTTTTAATTTTAGAGCAGCAAAGGAGAGGTAGTACATTGTCTGTGAAGGAAATGAACTTATTAATCACATTCTCTCTATCGGACCAATTGGTATTCCTGTTGTCAAAAACAAGGTTGTCTATAGAAGTTCAGGGGTATTGCCAACGTTTAGAGAGAATAGATGTTTTGAAGGCATCTTGTATGGGCATTTGAGAAAGAATTTGTACAATAAGAGCGTCAGGTAGCTCGCTGATCCAATCAATGCCAGTTTCTTCACATTCTGTCTCAATGTTCACTTTTTCCTGAGGTAGGTTTTCAAGAATCTGGCCTTTAGAATGTCCATCATCACCAGAACTGCCAGGGGATTGGTCTTGATCGCCCATGGTTGTCACACTACATTTCCTTTCCAAGTTCATTGCAAGAATGAGAGACCTATATGCTAAACAACTACTGTACCTGCGCTGAGAAAAGAGCACATATTAATAACTTTTGATCTTAGCCGAAAGTCTGACACTCCTTGATTCCTGCTCTGAAAAATAGCACATATTAAACCTTTCAAAGTTCACTACAAGAATGAGAGACCTATATACTAAACTACTCATGTACCTACTCTGTGCATTTATCATTTATCTATCTATATCGGTTTGACCAGTGGCAAATTTATAGTCTTAAAACGGGGGCTGTGAACCCGTGGTATATTTTTAAAATTGGTATAATATTATCGTATGACACCCATGCTACGGGAAGCCTAAATGGTTCATTTGATTGAATGTTGAGTTATTTACCTAGAGTACTAGGAATCCATCAATTACCACTTAATTCATTTTTTTAGTGGTGCGCTATGTTCTCGAAATACTAGATTCGCATCTCGGTTTTACAAATCAACTACTCTAAAATTCGAGCTCTTTTGAAGTTTTTCAGTGACATCTAACTGACCCATTCTATTTTTCTTCTCTATGGAATGCCCTAAGACCGAATTGATCACAAACCTGTCAACTAAGAAGTTAACTCAAACTTAAAAGTAGCAGAAGCCTAGATACTAGTACAGTGATACTTATTTACATAAAATGATATGGGTAAAGAATGAAAGGAGTCGTACCAGGAAGAACAAATAAATCGCCTCTCAACAGAAGTTAGCCCATCGTGTTTCGTCGACAATGGTGAATGATCGAATTTGAAACCCTAGAACCCAAAATTAATTTGTGATGAGAATTGAGACCTCCCCAAATTGGTTCATTTTGTTGCCGCCAAATGCACCCCTCTTATTAAGAGCCTGTCATTTTCTTTGAAAAAAACAAGGTGCTCTAGAAGCAGCCGTTTTTTCTAAAAGCTAGAAAATCTTGGTTCTTTTTTTAAAAAAACACACACACTATCAGACCAAAATATTTGTATGTAATGATTTATTTTTTGGTTTAAAATTTATTTTGCGTTGATATTTTAATTATATTTAAATTATATGTTAATATTTTATTAATAATAATTTAGCTTTTTTATTATCTATCAGTATTGAAAATTTGAATATGTATATTTTAATTTAATAAAAATAAATTTAATTACAAAATTATAATAGACATTTAAAATAATTACTCACTATAAAATAATTTTAATATTAAAAATGCATTGATACTTTTTTTTTATTTTGTAATTTGATTCTCAAAAACACTTTTTAAAAAGATTAATCAAACACAATTTTCTTAACAAAAACACTTTTCAAATGAATTAATCAAATAAAATTTCTTTTTCAAAAGTATCTTTTTGAAAAGTCATTTATAAAAAGTGCTACTAAAAATAAAGGTCAAACACATATGCAGCCCTTAATCGTGTCCCTAAATTTCATTCTAACACTTCAACTCAACCTTGTTCCATTTTAACCCTTTAACTTCAATTTTTATGTTTCATTTTGGTACTTCTATGTGATGTGGCAGAGTATGTGCATCATACTCTTTCTAAGAGAGTGAAAGACAAAAAAATGTTTTTTTTTTAAAATAATAAAAGATTAACCCTTCAACTCTATTTTTTTATATACCATTTAAACACAAAATACTAATTTTATGATTTCTTTATTTCTATATATGCTCTTCAACTGCAATTTTGCATTTTAAAAATCGTCGTTCATCCGTTAGTTATAGTAAAATATTCAAATTGACGGATGATCATTGATTATTTTTTTTAAGTAAAACAATTTCTTTTTGAAAGTTTCCCTGTGTTTTTGCGTGAAAAATAACCGACGAAAGTGCATTGACTTTCTTTCTTAAGAAAATCAGTGACAACCCAACGAAGTATATCAAGTTTCAACATTTTTTTATAGTGTTATTAATTAGCAATGAACATGAGTTTCTTTTTTTTACTCTTATTTAGTTGAATGAAAAATTAGAAAGCTGGTATTTGAGTTAGTCCAAATAGGTTAGACATGGAAAAAAAATGTGGTGTTATTTAATTTATTGTTTTAAAAAGAAGATCAACAAACTTTTGTCGATTATTTTTCACACAATAATGTACAGAAATTCTAAAATTTATTTGATGTTCATCCATTATTTTTAAAAAAAATAAAAGATATGACGTTTATTTTTAAAATGAAAAAGTGGAAATGAAGAAACTTGTCATTAAAAGTACAACATAAAAATTTTCTTCATTTTTATTTATGTTCTTCACTAGTAAAATTACCCGCTCTTTGCGGGGAATTTAATATCACGGAATTTATAAATTAAAATCTATCAGTCATTAAAACTAAAACACTATATTATCTTACATACAAAATTACATAGTAACAAACATTAATAATGTAAAGGAAAATGAAAATTATTACACTTTATCATTTATCCTTAATAACATAAGCATAAATTAATGACTGTAAAAATACATATCAAGATCTGTAACATAAGCAATGGTGTTAGTGGGTCATTCAACATGAGAAAAGTACACAAATATTTAATTGTGAAGAAGAAGAAGAAGAGGTTCAGATTTTTCGTTGTTTTAAAATGAAAAGAATTTCCTCTATTTATAGACAACAAAAGGTAGTGTGAACAAATATTTATTGTGCCTTATCAACCGCCCCTTAAAATTGAGATGTCTAAGTGAATTATGCGGACAACTTTAAGGGGCCACCGATGACTTAAGCCATAGATAAGGTAATATTTTTATGATGGTCATAAATAAAAGATTACAATTATTTAAAATGTAATTGTATTATTCAAATAAGTGAGCAAATTAAATGAAGTTTTTATCTCAATAATTAGTTCATATACATATTCAGTTGATTTTGATTTCCCCTTCCAAAAAATTATTTTAAATTAAATCTATACTCGAAATCAGGATCAAAATTAAATATTTTGATTTTTTTTTGTATCTTACACGAGGAGCATAAATTTTATGTAATTATTCGCCTAAATACATCCTAGTACAAAATACTCGTATGCGAGCAGAGTATTATATGCGTGAATTTATACGAGGCAAACGCCACATCACCGTGAAAATAAAAATACAAAGGGCAAAGTAATTTTTCTGGCTTCATCACTTCTGCCGGATTCTATCATCTCAGGGAAATGGCTAGCTCTCTCCGACGAATAGCGACGCATTCCTCTCAAGCCGCCTGGAGATCCTCTCTGACGCCGATATGGAGACAATTTGCGTCAGAAGCGTTGGTCGAAATCAAACCCGGAGAGATCGGTATGGTCTCTGGTATTCCAGATGAACATCTTCGTAGAAGGGTATAATTTCCTTTCTTTATGCCTCTTAGCTAATATCTGTTCTTTTCTCAGGTCATTTAGGTGTATGAAAATCTTCATTGTACGTTGCCAATTTATTAGGGCTTCTATAGCAGATCCATGGATTCCGCTATTTAGGGTTAGCAAATGATTTGGGGAATGGATATGGAGGATTCATATAGTTGGAATCAATTGATTTGGGATTGACGTAGTTGATTGATTGCTTTTCATTTTTGCCTTTGAGAATTTATGTCGACTCTAATCCAAAGACTATTCTTTTTTCGTCCTCCTTTTGTCTTCCTCGCTCCTCTCCTATTCAATGATGTAGAAGAGCCCATAGCTTCTTAGACACTTTTGACAAGTAAAAAGTTCAAAGTTTTCATGGTAGGGAGTAGTTTTTGCTTGGCAAGTATTAAGTTGAACTTGGACCTTCTAGAGCTTGAATTGACTAAGCCTTAATATCAGACCCCATCTTGGGTTAATGCAAACTTTTTCCCCACGGAGGTTTTTCATCCGTTTCTGCACAAATTTAGTTAAATAGTTTTACAGATTGCTTTTGATTGCCTTGAACTTGATTATGAGATGGGTAGAGTTTTAAACTTCAAGTTGTTGCAGCCAACAAAGAACTCTTTAAAATTGGTTGGCCTGTAGTCTAGACTTAACTTTTGGTGTTTGATTTGGAACTACTAATGTGAAAAGTGAATTATTTAGAATTAGTAATTTCTGTCATTAAAAAAAAAGAATTATTCAAGAAATGAAGTACGTAGTATAGTTCATGGGATGGTGTCCTCTCGATGCTAATTCACACTTCTTTCTCTCTATGTTCCTGTCTATTTTTTTATTTATCCCATATTTTTCCTTTCATGTGCATGGTTTGCCCTCTCTTTCAATTTTGGTAATATACAAATGTATTGGCTTGTTCAATTTCTTATATTGGACTCTTATATTCTCAAATTTCTTGTAGTGTTTAAAGGTGCCAAATGATCCTAATCTTTCTTTTAGTACATATATTTTCTACCTCTTCACGTGGAAAATTGCTCTCAGTTAGTGGATTAGATCTTATGCACATGCCCCTTTTTTGGTAGTTAATCATGTTTGCTCACCAGGTTGTGATTTTCTCACCTGCTCGGACTGCTAGTCAACAGGGCTCTGGAAAAGTTGGCAGATGGAAAATCAATTTCATGTCTACCCAGAAGTATGATTCTGGATATCTTCCTTTTCTTTTCAGTATTAATAAGTTAGCATGGTTCACCAATATTAGTCTATTTTTAGCCAGCACAAAATCCTGCAGGACTTTGTACAGTAATTACAATATACAAACTCATCTACCTTATCCTTCCGTCCTGAAGTAAACAAGAAGAAACAGAGAGAAAACCTGAAAGAAAGTTTTGATAAGTACAGACTATAAGTTTCATTGTGCCTAGGTGTCTATTCACAAAATGCAATGTTAACTATGAAATTTGGACCACAACAGGTAGTTTGGTGATTGATTACAGTGCTTAGTCGTGAAGGTTAAAGAGATTGTGAACTTATTTTCCTTTAGTGGTTCATATAATTATAGAGATGTGGACGTGATTGTCCTCCTTTTTATCTACTCCCTTTGTACCATTTTATGTGGCACCGTTTGACTTGGCATGGTGCTTAAGAAAAAAGGGAAGACTTTTGAAACTGGTGGTCTAAAACAATCCTTGAATATTTGTGTGGCTGTAAATCATTTCATTAAGGTAAAAAGGGAATTTTAAAATTAAATTGTTTCCAATTATAGTAAGGTGACATTCTTTTTGGGGCGGACTAAAAAGGAAAGGGTGCCGCATAAAATGGGACTGAGGGAGTATCATTTAATACAATGTTGGTGCCTCTGATTATGGGGTTTTTTGGTCGTGGAGGGAGGTAATTAGGAAGGCGTGTTGGTTTTGACATAGCCAAAACTCTCGGGGTTCACAAAAAGAAATTACTAATAGGAGTCCAGAGTTCTTACTATGCTGTAAAGATCAGTTCTTGACTAACTTTAAACTTCAATAGTGAAAGAACCCCATTCATTGAATTCAGCTTAGCCAGACTGCGTTTCTTCGAGGTTACTTAAGTAGAAAAATTTGTGCTGATTGTGATGAAAAAAGTGTATATTCATATCTGAAGATACTGAGAGAGAAGCACTCATAATTTATGTCCATGGTAAAAGCTTTATACTCTCCTCTATGCGGATCAAACTATTTTATCCAGGGTAATTTCATGGATGGTCATCCAACTAAAAATTTAGTGCACCAAAGCTATAAAAATAATTTTTGTAATGGAAAATGACACTAACTAGGCCCAAATATCACATTAAATAAAAAACAATAATAATGCTAAAATCTGGTCATAGAAAACACAATTAGGTTCCTAAAATGTATAAAATTTCCATACAAGTATAGCCACGTCAGCAACTCACCTTAGATAATATCTACGTGGCGCCACTTAAATGAACAACAATATTTTTCCGATCCAACCTAATACCCGATGTCTTTATTGTGTGACACATCATTTTTTTAGGTTTGGAAATGGATTTATATTCTTGGAAGTGGTGTCACGT